AGCAGCAAACCAATCGGATTCCAAATATAATAATTCTAGATAAGGTTAGGATACAAAAGGAAGAATCTCCCATTAACAGCATTATAGCAGTATTTCAGAAACACACATAAACAAAGTCCTTAGTTACTACCATAATGTACAGTGCATGATTTTTTCTAGCATTATTGTTTATGTTACGTCTACATTCTACTATTCTCTGATAGCTGAGAACAGAGAACAGAGGATCCTTTGTGCCTTCCTTGCTTCATAAGACACATTTGATGTCCTGCTCAGCAAGCGAGTGTTTATGAGAAATTCTTTACCTGTATGAAAAAAAAATACCTTGCTAACCACAAGCCAGGGAGGTGACATTGCTTCATTTAGTCATTGCACCGTCTGCAATTTCCTACATGCACCTACAACGGACTGGCAACTGACAAATGCTGAAGACATGAGCCTCTCCCTGGGTGGGGGATCACTATTGTGCAAAAAAGCTCACAGTTCATTTCACTCTGCACATGTATTCACTCATTTCCATTTGAAGTTCATTTTATTTTTACAATTTTCTTAGAAGCATATGAACCGTATTATATGTTCACATGTGAACTGCTGTAGATATTTTAGCAAATAACTGATATTGCCTAATAAATATGCATTACAAAGGAGTCTATCTATCTATCTATCTATCTATCTATCTTTCCAATACAAGCTTCTATTTATTATCAGTCTATTATCTATCTATCTATCTATCTATCTATCTATCTATCTATCTATCTTTCTAATATAAGCTTCTATTTATTATCAGTCTATTATCTATCTATCTATCTATCTATCTATCTATCTATCTATCTATCTATCTATCTATCTATCTTAGTATTAACTTATATATATTATCAGTATATTTCTATCTATCTATCTATCTATCTATCTATCTATCTATCTATCTATCTATCTTTCTAATATAAGCTTCTATTTATTATCAGTCTATCTATCTATCTATCTATCTATCTATCTATCTATCTATCTATCTATCTATCTATCTATCTATCTAATATCAGCTTATATTATCTATCTATCAATCTATCAATCTATCAATCTATCAATCTATCTATCTATCTATCTATCTATCTATCTATCTATCTATCTATCTATCTATCTATCTATCTATCTATCTATTATCTATCTTAGTATTAACTTCTATCTATCTATCTATCTATCTATCTATCTATCTATCTATCTATCTATCTATCTATCTATCTATCTATCTATCTATCTATCTTTCTTTCTATCTATCTTTCTTTCTAATATCAGCTTCCATTTATTTTCAGTCTATCTATCTATCTATCTATCTATCTATCTATCTATCTATCTATCTATCTATCCATTCTTAGATTTATTCATCTTTAGATTGTTCCAGTCATTCCACGTTTAAAAGTGCATAGAAGACTTAACTAAGCATCTGAGTATGTCAAAGCCCATAAAAATGCTAGTTTATAGCAGTGATTAATTTTCGGATGAAGAGTTTCCCAAATAATACAAGCTATTGCACATTTTTGTGTACTACATATAATAGAGGTGTGTGTTAATCAGATGAGCTCAGTGTTTAGATTGCTGCAGGGCATGCCAAACCCATCACTGAGGTAAGATGATACATACATGTCCTTGGACCAAACCCACATACTGAGACAGATAAAAGGGGAGATTTATCGCAGAGCCATTTACTCTGCCTCCGTCTTTGCTCATCCTCAGCATCACTTTTGTAACAGGACCATGTCTTTGGCTCACCAAACAATGAAAAAAACCTTCAGTACTGCTTCTGCTGTGCCAGCCGGGGCAAACCGAAACAGCTTCAGCTCTTATTCAACCGTTCGCTCCAGCAGTGGTGGTTTAGGTGGTGGCCGGGCCAGCACTGGTGGCTTTGGCAGCAGAAGTCTCCAAAACTTAGGATATGGCAAAAGAATGTCACAGAGTTCCCAGTCCCGTTATGGATATGGCTCTGGGTTTGGAGCTGGTAGTGGATCTGGCTTTGCAATTGGCGGAGGAGCAGGCTACGGAGTGGGCTCTGGATTTGGTGCTGGTCACGGATTTGGTGGTGGTCAAGGGTATGGTGGTGGTCAAGGGTTTGGTGGTGGTCAAGGGTTTGGTGGTGGAGCTGGATTTCCAGTGTGCCCACCTGGGGGGATCCAAGAAGTCACAATTAATCAGAGCCTTTTAGCTCCCCTCAATCTGGAAATTGACCCAAATATTCAGAGAGTCCGCACAGAAGAGAGAGAGCAGATTAAGACCCTCAACAATAAGTTTGCATCTTTTATCGACAAGGTAAGTTTTTATTACTTATACATGATTACTCATTCTGTTGCTTTAGATATTACACAGACATGACATGTTCTGATTTCGGTTGACTTGTAGGTCCGTTTCTTAGAGCAACAGAATAAAGTACTGGAGACAAAATGGAGTCTCTTGCAAGAGCAAGGTGTCAAAACTGTTAGAAGCAACATTGAACCTATGTTTGAAAGCTACATTAATACACTTCGGAGACAGCTAGACAGCCTAGTGAATGACAAATCTCGTTTGGATTCAGAACTTAGACAAATGCAGGATTGTGTTGAGGATTTCAAAAACAAGTAAGTGAAAATGAATTATTTTATTTACTGAATATTTCCTTAGTACATTGAAAACAATTGATGCATTTGTAGAGAAGTAGAAAAAGTTAAAGTAGACTTTCTAAACATAAGCCTATAAATACTGAAAAAAAAGTTTGGTTTCTAAATTTCTCTTTCCAAATTCTCTTTATGGCTATATGGTTAAAATGCATTGCTTCTCTGTCATTGATGTTTTTGCACCATTGAATATGTTTTATCAGTAAGAGGTATAACATAGTATAATCTAAGATGCTGAGGCTAGACTGTCTGTGTCTTGCACAATGTTTATTGTAACCATGATTTCAGATAATTAATACCTCAGAATGTGTTTTGTACAAAACCTGTTTGTAACCCTGGTCATATCACATGGGTCTGAAGTGTAAAATGTGAGTTGGCAGGAAGTTTGCTGCAATATGATATGAAGTAATGACAGCCTGTAAGCCACTGTCCTTGTGAAATACAGTACTTTTAATTCATATGCAGTGGATATAACAGTTAATGAGTTATTTTTGTAATGTTTCCTTTTGTATAGATATGAAGATGAAATTAACAAGAGAACAGCAGCAGAGAATGAATTTGTGGTGCTTAAAAAGGTGATTTAATAAACCTAATAACTTTGAATATAATAATATACCAAAGAGGCTAATAAAATAACATTTCAACCAGGTTACTAAATGTTTAGCTGGTTGTTAATGCTTAGCTGAATGGTTGCTATGGATTACTGTGCATTGGTGCTCCAGGCATCATGTTTTATTATAAGATATTGTGTCTTGAAGTTCATGTTCTAACACTGAATAATCTTTACATATGTGATGCATTAGGATGTGGATGCTGCTTACATGAACAAGGTTGAGCTGGAATGCAAGGTTGATGCCCTGACTGATGAGATCAACTTCCTGAGGGCTCTGTATGAAGCGGTAATTACAAATTCTCCATGTGCTTTATACCGTACTCTTTTCACTTTAGAATACGTAGAATGAGTAAGAAAAAGTTAAATGAAGAGTTCCAGTAGAACAATAATCAAATTGTAAAAACCTATACATGTTCCATCACTTAAAGTCAAGCCTAACTGTGCTTTTTCTGAGTGCAGAGTCTCAGATCTCTTTTGATGGGGTGACCCTCTCAATCTGGGTAGCGTTGTCACCCTCAAATAGGCTGAGCCTGCAAGGGATACAGTACGAGGTTCTGATGGCTTGACACCCATAAGTGTCTCAATTGTGAGCACTTATCTGAATTTTCAGCTGTCTGCAAGGTGCCTTGATTTTTGTATGATAGAATTTATAAATAGAATAGGCTGACTATTTGGCACATGCTTTTCATTTATTCACAATAGATGCACGTTAAAGTGCACTTGTGCCCAGACTATGGACATTGAAGTATTTATATATTCTTAACAAGAGGTGATTGAGTATATAAAGCAAGCCACCCTGGATGTCTGTAGCTGCAGGCACTGCGGATTAATTCACCCTTGAAACTTACAAGAGCCAATTTCTAACAGCTTAGGAATACTGCTGTTTGTTTATACAAGAGGGTTGGCAAGCTGCTATGTTTCTGCGGCCCAAGAAAATAAGGGGAGAAGGGCTTTTTATAAAGTTTTTTACTGCTTATTAAGAATATGTAAATATTTTAACATCAGTAGTCTAGACACAGTGCACTTTAATGCTTTTTTTTGTATGTATAGAATACATAAAGAGAAAAGAAAATGCAAAATCTGACTTCTACCAGATCCCGCCACCACCAAAGCACAGTTGCTATCTAAAATATGTATTATCCTAAATACATAGTAACCTATTATGAAATACAAAGTTCAGCCAAATATTCTAATACTGTGCAGAAAAAGTAAAATTATACCCCAGTGAGGGAGCCATTTATGGTGACTGTGAGAGAAAAATTACTTCTTAACCCTGTTAAGGGAAAATCCATTTTAATGAATCCCTTTTTACCAGTCACCCTATTGATGAACCCTGCTTATTATAGATAGAGATTTTTGTTAAACAAAGTTTATAATCTGCATTAACGTTTATATAATTTGGCCATCGCCAAAAGAGTTACAAAGTCTGACCACCCTTACACTATAAACAATAAGTGTAATAAAGTATATTTGGGACAGTACCACCAAATGTCCACTGAGTAAAAAAAGTGAACTGATTGGCTAAGCAGTGAGTTCATTATTCAAGTTTCTTCCATCCATCCTACTGTTCAACATCGCCTAAGATAACTAACTAAGCTTTTACATGTATTCAGTTCATTATTCAAGTTTCTTCCATCCATCCTACTGTTCAACATCGCCTAAGATAACTAACTAATTTTCTACATGTATTCAGGAACTCCTTCAAATGCAAGGACAGATCTCAGATACCCAGGTGGTTTTGTCCATGGACAACAACAGAGTTTTGGATCTGGATTGCATCATTGCAGAAGTCAAGGCTCAATATGAGGACATTGCCAACAGAAGCCGCAAAGAAGCAGAATCCTGGTACCAAACTAAAGTAAGTTCTTTGTCTATTTCAGACATATGTGAATGTTACCGTCTACAAATCATGCTTTGATTATTCTCCTTTATTTTTGTAAACATATGGTACTTTTATACTTTTTCTACAGTATGAGGAGCTCCAGGTTTCAGCTGGCAGACATGGTGATGATCTGAAGAGCACAAAAACTGAAATATCTGAACTGAACCGTATGATTACTAGACTGCGCTCTGAAATTGAAAACGTGAAGAAACAGGTAGATGGAATAGCTTCAGGGATTTACATTAGGAGTCAGTAATGAATGCTTCCCCTCTTCAGCAAAGGTTTATTACACTGTTACATTGTCTCTAGTTCTGCCAGGAAATATGTATTATGGAATTTAACATAGCTATTATAAAATGTCTCTGGCTTATTTTTGAATACTGAACAATTTAAACTGATTAAAACCTAACCATAATTGGATAAAATGGGTATGCTTTCTGGCATAAGATTATTTGACTCATATATGGTTTTAGGAAGTATGTTTATCATAAATATGGTGCAGCAATATATTAATTGATTTTGTGTTCCTTTGTTAAAACAGTGTGCCAAGCTACAGGCTTCAATTGCTGAGGCAGAAGAACGTGGAGAGCTTGCAATAAAAGATGCCAAGCACAAACTTATTGAGTTAGAGGAAGCTCTGCAGAAGGCCAAGCAGGACATGGCTCGACAACTGAAAGACTATCAGGAGTTGATGAATGTCAAACTCGCCCTTGATATTGAAATTGCCACTTACAGAAAACTGCTGGAAGGAGAGGAAAGCAGGTAAGGAAAACCGTGACTCATAATGTAAGTTCACAATGTAATTAAAGCAAAACTCCAGCTGCCCCTCCCCCCTTCTTACACACACACATACTCCTCTCTTGCAGCCTTCTTTAAAATATTTGATTTATACATACCTTTTTATCTGGGGTTTATGGTCAGTCACATGACATCTTCAGGTCTTCTTCCTCTCCTCAATCAGGCAACAGTGGGCGGTCTTTAATACTGCAGGGTGTGGTGCTCATTTTATGATGACAACTCTCTTCTCTGCAGTTTCATATTGTAAGATTAGGCTGATGTAGTCGGAACCATTGGGTGGGTGTACACGAGAGCCTGGGTTCACAAAAAAAAATGGATTGAATTATGCTGGCTATCGTTCAACCCAGCACAAAACTGGTGGTAAGGCTGCGTTTTTGGAAGGACAGCGGGGCAGCACTGTAGATGAGGTGAGCATTGTAGCAAGAGCTGCATTTTTTGAAAAAGAAGAATTCCGGGCATATCAAAACTTAACCCTTGCAATGGGGCTACCACCGCACTGCAAGGCTACATGGGCCGGTCTAGAAGCCAGCGGGATCGAGGATCGGGTGAGTATATCTTTTACATCATAGACCAAAATGAGCATTGTAATCTCTATTGATCAATCAAGTACGTATGTTAGCATAACTAAGTAGTATAGCAAACCAAAGTACTGCAATGCCTACACATGATACAATTATGATGACCAGCGTGATCCTACTACCACCAAACTAGAGCATGTAGATGTCAGCTTTTCTTGCCAACCACTGGAACTGATTATAAAGTCAGATTGTAACATTTAAAACAAATTCTGGGACCCCCCTTTTGGGACTCTGAACTGCTGGTTGATTAAGACAATAAAAAGAACCCACAGAAGATTGAAAAGGCTCAGAAATGACACACTGATTACAAATGTTACAAAGAACCTTTTTGGAATGGATTTGAAATATTTATTTTGCTTTATTTCTTACAGGTTGGCAGGGGATGGTGTAGGAGCTGTGAACATCTGTAAGTCTGTGTTGCTTATTCATACATAGAGATATTTTCATAAGTACTATTTGTAACTGCTAAGGCTGACTTACCATGCAACTTTTTTCTTCTAGCTGTTGTAAGTTCATCCTATGGTAACAGTGGTGGATACAGTATGGGCGGTGGAAGTGGAGGAAGTGGATACGGTATGGGCGGCGGAAGTGGATACGGTATGGGCGGTGGAAGTGGATACGGTATGGGAGGTGGAAGTGGAATCGGTTTCGGAGGTGGAAGTGGATACGGTGTTGGAGGAGGAAGCAGCGGCTATGGTGCAGGAGGAAGCTATGGTGGAGGAAGCTTCAGTGCTGGCAGTGGAAAACTGGCTGGTTTTGGCTCTGGAAGTGGCAGTAATTCAAGTGTAAAAATTATCTCAAAGACCTCCACAAGTTCCAGGAGGCATTAAAATGTCATTCGCAATGCCACATGTAATATAATACCATCATTTCCTAATAACACTTGAAACATCTACAACTGTGGCCTTATCAGTGATATTCATGTTCTAAATTTGAAGATTTTACAGTATTGAGGTTAACCAGGAGGCTTTATGCATCCGTGGATGTCTTTTTATTTTATCACAAAAGTTTATCCCCAGCATTGTCTTCATGAACCTTCCTTAATCAATCACATCCATGCAAAGTAAAAAAAAAATTGAGGTACTGTATTCACATACAGTTGTCTTAAACCAAATTAAACAACAAACAAACAAAAGGATGATGTATACCATTACCCACTCCTACCTATCTCATAATCTGATACCTAATCTGATGGATCAGACATGTTTCTTTAATACAAAATGTGCAATTTAACTGTCGCTTATCTTTGTTGTATACTGTTACAATGTACTATTTTTCCTGAAATAAACTGCATTCATTAAAAAAAAAAAAATGTTGTTCCCAGTTCATTTACATATTTGAAGACACCATTGTATATGCAGTATTAATACCATCTAAGTGTGAAATATGAATGGTAACTTGAATATTCCTAGTGTAAACTTCCAAATACTTTACAGGATTTCTTAAAGGAGAACTATGGGGTTAGGGCTTTTTCCCATAGTTCTCCTAAGGGTAACGGGAGGACACAAACTAACGTCCTCCGGTCACCCTAGGCTCAGTATACCGCGAGCTGTAGCTCGCGGTATACTGAGATGCCGCAGTATACCGCGAGCTGCAGCTCGCGGTATATTGAGACGCCGCACCAGAAGCGGATCCCGACAATTATGTCATGCCACCTAACCATAAGAAAAGAACCAGACAAATATGTTTATACACAACATACTGTTACATGAGACTAGTAAAAGTGCAATGCTGTACTATTTTATACTACAGCTCCAGAATATGTGTATGACGGAGTGTGTGTGTGTGAAAGAGGGAAACCTCACTTGATGACAGTAGGTATTCTCAAGGAACATGCAGTTTGAATGTAAATGCACCCTCGGACGGAGCACATCCTGAGCAGGAATGTAGAGCAGGCTGCTGCCAGGAGCCAGAGGGATGTGAAAATTTACTGGGCCAAGGTAACATTGAATACAGGGGTGTTAATACCATGAATCAATGAAAAAAAAACTTTTAAAAAATAATGTTACATAGTACATAGTATTTGGGGTTGAATAAAGACACAAGTCCATCAAGTCCAACCCATATCGGTCCATGCATCATCTCTTTCTTAGGAGTACTTGTACCCCTGTATATTATAGTCCCTCAGGAAATCATCCAAGAGTTTCTTGAACATTTCCACACTCCAGGTTGAAATCACTGCCGATGGCAGTGAGTTCCAGACCCTTACCGCTCTTACCGTGAAGAACCCCCTTTGTCCCTTGTGCTGGAATTTGTTTTCCACCAATTTTAGGTGGTGGCCTCTAGTTTCTGTAACGGAGTTTGTAAAGAGTTTGTTGCCAATTTTGCTGTCGCCATTGAACATCTTGTACATGAAAATCATATCCCCTCTTAATCTCCTTACTTCCAACGTGAACATGTTTACATTTATGAGCCTTGTCTCATAGTTCTGGTCCTCCATTCCCCTAATTAGTTTAGTGTCCCTTCGCTGGACCCTCTCCAGATCAAGGACATATTTTCTTAATACTGGTGACCAAAACTGGACCACGTACTCCAGAGTGCAGGTTATCTGGACCCACTGCTTTAGGCGGCACCCCATTTAATTAAAAAAGTGTATGGGTTTCCCCTCAAAGTCATACCAGGCCCATAAGGTCTGGTAAGAATTGTAAGGAGGAACTGCACCCCCAAAAATGGGGGGAAAAACATGTGTCGGGTCCCCCCTAAAATCCCATACCAGACCCTTGATCCGAGCACAGGCCTGGCAGAGGAGGAAAGGGGGGGGGGGGTGAGCGAGCACCCCCCCCCCTACGATACCAGGCCACATGCCCCCTGCACTGGGAGGGTGCTTTTCCAGGGTTGCCCCTGGAAAAGCACCTTCTTCCTGTGCCGGTGGGGAAATGGGCATCTTCCCCAAAGGCCCTGTAGCGTTGGTTGTGAGGGTGTGGGCAGGGGCTTATTCACATCAGGATACCTCCTTAATAAAGGGGCACCCAGATGCTCCCCCTCCCTTGTGAATGAGTAAGGGCTACCCATTCACAAAAGGGTTAAAATAAATTGTCAATTAAAAGACCAGACTTTTGAAAAAAACTAAATAAAAAATAGAACAATAAAAAATAAATTGAAATTATTTTTAAAAATAAAGACCGCCATCTGAAAGACTGGGCCCTGACTGGGCTAAATCTTGCGTCTGACCTTGCCCCTTGCCCACATCCCTACTGCTGACACATATACAATACATTTTTACAAGAAATGTGAAAAATCACACCTAAGTTAGTACTTGTGTTATCTTTGATTTGGGGTTGCTTTTTATGATATCCTGACATCCCTCTAAAATTTTCTTATAGCATTGTTCAGCGGACTCTGCAATATATCTCTGGAGTACATACAGGTAGATTCTTGTTAAGCAGGGCAAGTGGAAACAGTAGAACGTTTATTGGAAAAAATAACTCTTTAGCTGAAGTCTTTACACATAAGAACAGCCTAATTGACATGAGCACACAATGGAGGACAATTTTAGACATTACACAAAACTGTACAAGTATATACTATGTGGTCTAGAAGCACAGTATTGTACAGGGACTGGGTACTATCATACTAGCAAAAGTGTACCCATTGCTTGAACAGTGGAAATATAGAGGTAAGAAAACCATTTGTACTATGGCGAATCAGAGGGCATTTCATTTTATTAACAGATATGTGTCCTTCATACTTTTAACCACTTGAAGACCAGGTGTTTAGACCCCCTTCCTGGCCAGGCCATTTTTCAGTATTCAGCGCTGTGGTACTTTGACTGACATTTATTCCGAACACCCACACAGTTCACGAAGACAAAGTTCAGAAACCTATTTGCACATGTAGAACTCCCTAAAATGCTGTTGTAACTCCATTTCTACTTTTAACTCTGAATGGTTTAAAAGCTTGACACTGGAGAAGGTATAATGGATACTGATACTGTTCCAGATTTATAATGAGAGGAACTGTGCGATCTTTATAAAGACAATCACTGGGATTACAAATTATCACAGGAATATCTTCCATTGAGATATCACTTCTATATCCATCACAGCAATCTTAGATGGACTTTCATTTTGTGGCCACAGATGAATAAAGTGAGTAAACCTGTTACATACTGATACATTTGTATCTACTGTTTTTATGCAGTATATCTACTCCTACCAGTGACTGCCTATTACTCTGCTGACAAATTAACCCTGACTGCTTTGTCCTACTCTGGGGTCATTCAAGGGAAGTTGTGCCTTTCTTTTAAGATTTTTAAAAATGTCATGTATTAGGTGCTTTACCTTTATATTTTTCTATGTTAATTAAAAATCTTTTGATATACTACATACTATAGAGTTACTTGTTCACTGGATAGCTCCACTAATGTGATTTCTTTGTAAAGGGGATTCTGCTGTTTGAATATTATTCCTGAAACCCAGGAGCTCAGTCCACATAATTTGTAACTTATTTGCTACTTATTGCGATACTCCTTTTCCCCTGTATGTTTATAGAAGGTATAATTGCTAGGTGCCAGTGCCAGGTGGGTAGGTTTGAGAATCATGATCACTGTGCTCTGGCCACTATGTTTAGACTATGTTTAGAAGAGCTTTGATACCCTATACAGAAGAAAGACGCTACCCTCTTCACAAAAAGTAGCCTCTCCTTGGGTCTCTTTGAGAATGACAGTGTCTCATAATCGCAGCTTCAATAGCACAAATTGTTTATTAGGGTGCAAGCCAAATTAACACTGGGCTCTAAAATCTTGGAATTGTGCTTTAGCTGCGTGATTAGTACAAATCCTCTATTTTCCTTTTCCCCTGCAGCCTGTAAGAAAAATTTTATTATTATTATTATTATACAGGATTTATATAACGCCAACAGTTTACACAGTGCTTTACAATATAAGGAGGACATTACAGTTACAATACAAGGCAAAACAAAATGGTAAGGAGGGCCCTGCTCGTGAGAGCTTACAGTTTAAATGGGAGGGACAAGTGATACACGAGGAAGTAGCTGTGTGGGGATGAATTGATTAAGAAAGTGATAGTTCAGTGGTTAGTTTGAGGCAAGAAAGGCTTACCTGAAGGCATGAGTCTTTAGTGATCGTCTAAAGGCAGTCAGAGTGGGAGATAGATGGTCAGGTTGGGGTACAGAGTTCCAAAGGATGGGAGAGACTATAGAGAAGTCCTGGAGGCAAGCATTGGAGGAGTTGATGAGTGAGCTAGAGAGCAGAAGGTCTTGGGAGGAACGGAGAGGATGGTTATGGTTATACTTTGAAATTATTGGAGATATAGCTGGGGGCAGAGTTCTGGATGGCTTTGTGAGTGGTTTTTAATATTTGGAATTTTATCCTTTGGATTGGAAGCCAGTGGAGGGAATGACAGATGGGGTTGCAGACACTGAGCGATTGGCTAGGTGGATGAGTCTATCAGCAGCATTCATGATATACTGAAGGGGGATAGCCTGTGCAGAGGTAAGCCAATGAGAAAGGAGTTGCAATAGTCGAAACGAGAGATAACAAGTGAGTGGATGAGTAGTTTTGTGGTTTGATTGGTTAGAAAGGAGCGTATTTTTGGAGATGTTACGAAGGTGAAGGCAGCAGCATTTAAATTATTATCAATCACAATGGAAAAGTTGGGGGAGGGTGCATGGGGGGGGGGGAAATATCATGAGCTCAGTTTTTGAAAGATTAAGTTTTAAGAAGTGATGTGATATCAAGACTGATATGTCAGTTAGTAGGTTAGGGACACCAAGGGTGTGAGTTGTGGAGTGGAGAGATATATTTGAGTGTCATCGGCACGGAGATGGTATTGGAAGTAGCGATGGGCCGAACACACCCGAGTTCGGTTCGAGTTCGAACTTTAGCACATGGA